TAACAGGAACCCTGGGTCAGAGACTGAGGACAGGATACAAGAGATGGTCAGGGACTGTGGATACAATACAAGAGATGGTCAGGGACTGTGGATACAATACAAGAGATGGTCAGGGATGAGAACAGGATACAAGAGATGGTCAGAGATGAGGACAGGATACAAGAGATGGTCAGAAATTTTGGATACCTTACAAGAGATGGTCAGAGACGAGGACAGGATACAAGAGATGGTCAGAGATTGTGGATACCTTACAAGAGATGGTCAGAGACTGAGGACAGGATACAAGAGATGGTCAGAGATTGTGGATACCTTACAAGAGATGGTCAGAGACTGAGGACAGGATACAAGAGATGGTCAGAGATTGTGGATATAATACAAGGGATGGTTAGAGACTGCAGACATACTGTAATACAAGAAATGGTCTTAGACTGCAGACATGCTGCAAGAGATGGTCAGAGACTGCAGAAATGATATAAGGGATGGTTAGAGACTGCGGATATGGTACATGAGTTGGTTAGAGACTGCAAACATGACACAAGAGATGGTCAGAGACTGCAGACATGCTGAAGGAGACTGTCAGAGACTGTGAACATGCTTTAGAAATTATTGGAGACTGGAGACAGGCTTCAGGAGACAGTCATAGACTGGAAACATGTTACATAGCACTGCTAGAAATCACTACTATAACAGGGAAACACAGATTAGTGTCTGCAAAGGGCGAGGGCTGCAAAAAAAGTGCCAAAGAGCTGCATGTGGCCCTCGCACAGCAGGTTGGTCACCAGAGCACTACAACATTGGTAAAATGTGTGGTGCAGTGTGGCAATGTGCAGCATGGATGTCACCGTATGTCACCATACTGCAGTGCAATGCACCATGCTGCTGAGAGAAGACATGAAGGGGTTTATTTACTAAAGCCGGAGAGTGTGAAATCAGGCTGACTTCTGCATAGAAACCCATCAGCTTCCAGGTTTTATTGCCAAAGATTAATTGAACAAGCTGAAGTTAGAAACTGATTGGTGAAGGGAAATGTATGTCTTTTTTGTCTGTTATTTTGTTTTCCCCCTCCATTTTATATTTTGTACTCCATGTTGAATAATTGTTTTATATTATACCTAGAATGAGTTAATGAAAATATGCTGTGTCAGTTATGTGTTACAGAACTGTGCTCACACATTCTTTTGTTTTTTATCTTAGCTTAGCCTTGGTAGAGGCAGGGAAAGTATCCAGTTATTTCTTTGTATTAACAGCATTTGTTTCTGCTATGATATAGTTAAAAGTCAAATACTACTGTCCCATGGGAAAATAACTGTTGGTTACTTGTAACTGATTTCAAGGTCTGAGAAATCTCACGTTCACAGCTTTTACAAGTACCCAGCGAAATCCTGTTGTATGGTTTTCTTTGTTACAATATAAGAAGAAGAATCTACGAATAAAGATTCAGATTGTCTCCTGAAAACCTGTGTGTGCATGCTAATTTCTTCCTGCCAAAACACAGTCTCTTGGGTCCAATGGGGGACCGGAACCTACCAGTGGTCATTAGAAGCACAAATCCCTTTCAATTGGTTTCTAAATGAGCCTGATTTTGCACTCTCCAGTTTTAGTAAATAAACCCCAAAGTGTCACTATGTGGCAATACTGAAGCATACATTGTGCGTTCCCCACCACAGTGCACGCTGACAGCTGCCTGCACAGTAAAACACTGCATTTTATGGTGCAAACCAGTGCAAAAACAGCTGTACGGTGTTATTCAAAATTACATAACTCAACAGGAACAGCGCCAGCAACTTTGAATAAATAAATCCTTTGGAAAAGATGTTATTGTTTCCATTGGGTGTCAACAACAAAGACAATCCCCCTTTTTCCATATTTCTATGTTTCGGGTTCAACATGACCCCTTCTCAAGTAGGAAATGTTTGGAGATATATTTTTTTAATTTGAATCCATGTTGCTGTTCATTTTGAGCTTTTAATTACTGAACCCCAGGAGTGTCTGGTGGGTTGGATTGTTGCACAGGGTATGAGAAGCATGTAAAGGTGAACAGATATTTTTTATGATATCAAGCAATACATATTCATAATGGTGCATTTTAACATGTCCTTTATTAAATAGGACAGAGGCAAAGGACACACCTCCAGTGATCCCATACTACCTTGTCTATAGCAATGGTGAAATCAGGAACTCAAAGCCAATACGGATTGTCAGTACCTGTACTCTGGATGTTTATAAATTCCCATTTGACACACAGACATGTTACTTGTCTTTTGGACCATATATACACACTGGTAAGTTGAAGACTTTTGGCCATTACTTTCAGTGAATCATTGTTATCTATTTTAGTACGTATCGTTCTTCTGGGGTTAGCAGGGTCATAGCGATGGGTAGCACAACCTAAACCTCCCTCTGTAGAGCCAAATTGTTCCTAGGATCCAGGGAATTTCCTATTCAGCTGAAAGGTGAAAACATTCAATGGTCTTCAATTTTGGCTTTGGGGTCTCCTTTAAGATGAATGCTCATAGAACAGCTCCAGAAGTTCTAGGAATCACCCATATTAGATGGCCAAACTACCTTGGGTGCCTCTGTCTCCTTCCAGGTGGATTTATTAATGGCTGAAGTAACTTCATTAGCAGCAAATGTCATATTATTATTATTATTATTATTATATTTTATTAAATGTTGTTAGACTACAGGTACAGTACATTAATAGCCCAGTATGAGTACAAAAAAAGCTACTTTTGCTGTAATACGTACCATTAATGTGGTGTTGTCCCCTAGACTAATTCCTTTCTACCATTGCATGTCACCAGTCTTTGAGGTTGAATGACATCCATAACTGGGCTTTGATTATTTACTGCACTCATTTTATTTGATTAGCCAGTTGGCTGACCAAAAGAAAACAGCTAGATTCCCCCATCCACACATTCCAGGTGGATGAAGGAATCCCCCCCACTTTACTATTGTATTTTGACAGCAGGACTCCTCCACTGTAAACATACAATGATCAACAAAGCCCTGATCGAAGGAAAAATTTCCTACATTCCAGGTGGATAGAAGCCAATTGTTAGATCGACTTCTCTCTAGTGAGAACGGCTATAGATGAAACCTGCTGAACCAGCCAAATTTTGATCCATCTATGGCCAGCATTACATAGCCCCTTTAAGCACCACCATCAGGGAAGTAATAGCATTAATCTTGTATGATAGGGTCCTGGGCATAGAATGGGACCATTGCCATCCAAAATGCACATCACCTGCCATGCAGGGAAGGTTTCTGGGAGTTTTCGGGAAGCAAGAAAAAGGAATAGTGGATCCATGCTGACAAATTTTTAGTCAACAAAGCGATTCTAGTAATTCTTTAAATTGGGGTCAGATATCCTACATATGTTAAAAAAAGACTGTATTTTAAATTGGAGATTAGCATGCATGTAAATGCAATATGCATAATTGTTGAATTTACATGCCTTGTCATTATACAATTCTTAAAGAGTGTAAGAACAAAAGGGCTATGGGATGGTATTTACTATAGTAAAACAGAATGATTGTCCTAAGACATTATGTACTAAAGGTCCCCATAGGTTCTAATAGTGGCCCCGCCTCTAAGCGCCTTCTGCAATTTCTGTTTGCCAAAATAGAAACTAAAGATCGAATAGGAGTATTGGGGCTCCCTAATAATAGAAATGGAAAGTTGGAGGAGCCTAAAGAAAATGATCGATGTTTATGTGGTTTAGCAGTGTCAACTATTGCTCTTGATTAGTTGCCATTTTTGGGTATTGTAAAGGAGGTTGGGAAACACAGAGGTAGGATTCCACAATAGACCCACTGGACAGAAGGGTTGTTGTGTAGGAAAATGTAGATCATTACTATATGATGTATTAAATTCTAATTAGTTAATTTGATCTTTTTGTTTTTATGTATGAAGATTAAAGAGTAACTCCACTTTTGTTGAGAAAAAAAAATTTCCCTCTGGGTGATCTATATACATTCCAATTTTAACAAACCAGGTTGCAGATTCCTACCTTGTTATTCTGAAGGAATAGCTGTTTGTTTGTCTGTGTGCAGAGTGAATCTGTATGGGAGTGGTTTTCTAATTATCAATTAACTGCTGGACCTGCAGGGCTCTAATGAGGAAAGTGGCAGGGTCTGCATTCCTTTAGATGTGATTTCCCTTTGAGATTATCCCACCGAAAATTAATTTTTGTTGCACGGGGATATGCGCAAAATCTAATTTTGTATCGTACTGCAGACTTCTGGGAAAATCAGTAAGCCAATCACATAAGCTGTATATGACATTTCTGGGGGGTGTTATGTACACATGTGTGTACAGAACGCCTCCATGTAGCCATATTACATTGCATTTTACAGAAAATTACAGCGCTGCAGATAGAAAAGTAAAAATCATTTTCAGTAACATTCAATTGTAATATGACTTGTGTTGCAATTGTATATGCTATATTAATTTTTTTTTTTTTTTTGCTATTTTTTCCCCACGAAAGTGAAAGTACCCTTTATTAAAACAGCTTTGCATAAACCAACATCTAAATGTAACTTGTATCTATTGTGCTTTTTTCCAGTAAAAGACATCATTGTGGTGCCAAAACTAAATTCTTCTCAAGTTAATGAAAACTCACAAAATGTTTTTGTTAGCAAAGGGGACTGGATCTTGTTAGAAGTCAGTGTGACCAACAATACAATTTTGGACAAAGATTTATCATACAGCAAAGTGATCTACAAGGTAACCTTTGAAATATCTATCAGATGTGATATCACATATTAGATGTGCTCAATTATGCACTGAGCTGTGAAATTTGTTTGCTCAATTGACTGTTCATTACAGCTCATTGCAGCAGGAATTTACCGAAACTTGTGCAATCAGAATCTGGAGCAGCTGTGCATAGTAACCAATCAGATTATAGCTTCAGCTTGTTCAGTTAAAGTGTTACTAAACTCAGGACCCTGCATTCACTATATCTGGTCTCCCACAGTACACACAACATGGAAATGCAATTAGTTTAGTAAATATAAACTGCTAAATACCTTTTCTCATCAGCAGTTAGAGCAGTCTTGTGACTTCTGTCAGTGTCCAGCAGAGCACTGGTTAAAGCTTGTAGGAGGAGTTTTTTTCTGCTCTAGGAGGATGCGGAATCCCCTGACCTCTGTCTGGACAGTGCTGATTTGCCCTGTGCTGATCACATACATATTCTCTCAAGAAAAAAAAAAATATATCCCTCTCTAGCATTACACACCAAACTGAGCATGCGCAGAGTGTTTCCACACAATATGTCTTATCAGGAGATAAGAGGGGGACACTGAATGAAGGGCAGGATCAGAGACATCAGGATCAAACAGCATTTTTACACAATGCAGAGGATAAACTCCTTAGGTTCCACAGTGAGTATAACAAGCATGTTTTCCTGCACATACAGACTGATTTTACTGTTGTGGGTTATGTAACACTTTAACCACTTGCCTTCCTGAGGATTTACCCCCCTTAATGACCAGGCCGCTTTTTGCTACTCGGCGCTGCACTAATTCAACTGATAATTGCGCGGTCATGCAATGCTGCACCCAAACAAAATTTACGTCCTTTTTTCACACAAATAGAGATTTTTTTTGGTGTAATTTGATCACCTGTGCGCTTTTTATTTTTCACGCTATAAACAAAAAAAGGCCAAAAATTTTGAAGAAAAACAATATTTTTTACTTTCAGCTATAAAAAAAAATATATAGTAAACTCAAAGTTGGTTATAAATTTAGGCCAAAATGTATTCTGATACATGTTTTTGGTAAACAAAATCCCAATAAGTGTATATTGATTGCTTTGTGTGGAAGTTATAGCGTCTACAAACTATGGTAGAAATACTGCAATTTACGAAATTTTTCTGCTATACAGGGCTGCGCTAGTTTAACGGACAATTGCGCGGTCATGCAATACGGTACATAAATGAAATTTACATCCTTTTTTTCCCCACAAATTGAGCTTTTTTCAGTGGTATTTGATCGCCTGTGCGGTTTGTATTTTTTTCGCTATAAAAAAAAAAGGCTGACAATTTTGAGGAAAAAAAAAACAGTATTTTGGACTTTTTGCTATAAAACATGTCCAGTAAAAAAAATGCAAAAATCAAATTTAGTCATAAATTTCTGCCAAAATGCATTCTGCGACATGTCTTTGCTAAAAAAAAAACCCAATACGTGTAAATTAATTGGTTTACGTGAAAGTTATAGCGTTTACAAATGGCGGGAAAGATACTGGGATTTTTTAGTTTTTTTTTATACTAATAATGGCGGCGATCAGCGACTTATGGCGGCGATCAGGGACATATGGCAGAGACCAGCGACTTATGGCGGGACTGAGGGACTGCGGTGGACATTTTGACATTGGGGGGTACTGACTTGGGGTCACTGACATCCCCAAAAACACTAATACAGTGATCAGTGCAAAAAAAAAAAAACTGACACTGTACTAATGGCAATGGGGAGGAAGGGGTTAACTTTATTTTGCAGGGAAAGGGTTATAGGAGTGAGGGGAGTGTTTTACTAGGGGGCGGGGGTGTGTACTGGACGGGACAAGGCTGATCGAGAAAGAGAAACTGTTCTTTCTCAATCAGCTCATCCTCGAGCTGACAGGGAAGTGACAGACAGCACAGCTACTGCAGCTGTGCTCTCTGTCACTGTTTGCCGCCGATCGCCGGGATATAGCCGCTAAGGAGATCCGCAGGACAGATAGGGCGGCGGCACGCCTCGCGCGCCCCCTATTTGTTTATAAAACACACGTTTTAAAACGTGGTTTTGCCTGCGAGTGCCACCCTGCCGCCGTATATGTACAGTGGCTGGGCGGCATGTAGTTAAGCTTTGAAAACAAAAGCTAGAAGTTGATTGGTTGCCATGCTCAGCTACTCCAGTTTTTGTAAGTTCCCCCTAATGTGTATTTCAGTTAGGAAAAGCTTGACTTCTGAGAACACCCATCAGACATTGCCCCTAATGCAGCTGTCAGATCAGACGGCTTTTCTTCTTAAAGTGGAATTAAACCCTCCTATCCTTTACAGCCAATAAAACTGCCACCTTATGCAGACCTTCCATGGGTCGAATTCTAACTGATTTGTCGATATCGAAAATATTTGTACAGAATCGAAAATTTTGTGCATTTTGTAAACTGATGGTACCACCATTGATTTCGAAATTTGACCAACCTCATGTTGTGGCCAGGAATCTTCTTTTCTTTCCAGGTCACAGCTCATGTGCATTTCTTTTTTGATTATATTTCTCGCACAATTCTCCCATCATTGATTAGAAATTCATTCGATTTAAAAAAAATTTCAAAATGCCAGATTACTCAAATTCGATAGACGCATGAAAATCAGTTGTTGCTGCAGCCCCACTAATGGTCGAAATTCGAACAATAATTAAAAATGACGATTTTCGACAGAAAAATCTTCGCGATTCAACCCATGTATGGCTGGCCTCTGTTTGATCTGAAGTGGTGCAGCACATGTGGTCAATTATGACACCAACCATTTGATTGATTGACAGTTTGGTTGGGAGAGCAAACGTCTATGACAGTTATCATTTACGCACAGAAAGTAGGTTATATGGTTGTCAGTGTCATAGCTCACACCAGTGCTTGCAGGTACAATGCGTTCCGGTTGCAGAAAAAAAAGTAGAACATGCTGCATTTTTTCTGCACAGTACTGCACTGGAACATGGTAAAATGCATAAAAAATGCACAGAACGCACCAAAAATGCACTGGAAGGCACATGTCCCTATTTAAATTGAAGAAAAAGAGAGGGGAAAAAATTTACTGAAATGCATAAAAAACATACTGGAACGAGTCGGAAACGCATCCGGAATGCATTTGGACTGTGTTTCTATGGTGTGAACTAGCCCTCATACTTACAGAAAAATTGATGCTCAGCTTTCTCTTGCAGAGACATCAGATTACATCAGTTTTTATGCACTTCAATGAGTTTCATACACGTTGCAGATTCCTGCGCAGAAAAATCTGCATGCGATACTAGGGTTGTGGTCAGGGGCGGACTGACAACTCATGGGGCCCCCGGGCAATAGGGGATCATGGGGCCCCTGTGTCCTTGCCCAAACTCAAAAAAGCCTGTGAAAAAGGTACCAGGAGCATCTCATGGGGCCCCCTACTGACCCCAGGCCCTCGGGCAGAGCCCGACTTTCCAAATGGTCAGTCCGCCCCTGGTTGTGGTGTGAACAGGGTACATAGAGACTAATTGATTTTGTTGTGCACTTGTAGAACGGGTGCAGAAAAACTAACGTCTCTGTACCATAGTGTGAATGAGCCCTAAAGGTCAGTCCACACCACAAAAACGCACTCTGGATGTGTTCCGGATGTGTTTCTGCTTACATTTCACCCCACACTCCGTTCCAGTGCATTTTTGAGGCATTTTGCTGTGTTTCAGTACAGTTCTGTGCAGAAAATATGCAGCATGTGCTACATTTTTTTTTCTGCACCGAAACACACTGGAACTTACTGCACTGGTATGAACTAGGACCATTGGAATACATGGAAAACACTGCATGTATTTTTTAGGCAGAAAAAAAAACGCACTAGACTGCATCTGGTGTGAACCAGCCCCAAAAGAAAATGGTAGGTCCTGAAAGTTTGTCCCAAAAATGTAACTGTTAGTGCCAATTAAAAAATGATCATGGACAGTACTGAACTCTGTTGTTGCAAGTACACATTAGGGCTACAATCACCTTAAAGCGGAACTAAACTGTGTAGCACTACCCTCTTAGGAATCGCTGGAAGATTTGGGTCCCCCTATAGTCCTGCTCAGCCAGGCATCACGCATTTCAACAAAGCTTGCATCTAGAGTCAGAAATCAGTCCTTGAGCTTTGGTTTTGTTGTTTAATTGAGGGATTTGAACTGGGATAGGGTTAAGGGTAGGGGTGTACAGGAAGGTACTGATAAATTGAGGACAACTTTCTGGAACTATTTGCAAGCCTTCTCTGCAGCACAGTCTCTGTTGGAGAGTTAGCCTTAATGTACCACCCCAGACCCAGGATGAACTTCTCCTCTTCACCTAGCAACCAGGAGGTGTCCCTGAACAGGGGATTGGTTCTTGCCACTTTAAGAACTAGTCAGTCACTGGTAGGTGGCTAATCTGGTTTTCCACCAGAGTGCTCCTTCCTCTATCTTCCCAAGGGGTATAAGCGTACTCACTCAGATCCTCTACAGCACCGCTTGTGGGTTGGTGGCTGCAACAGGCCTATAAGCTTGGCCGCTCCTTCCCCTACCATACAGGTGGTCCTCTCTCAGGGGGCCGGTGACTTTTGAGCTTTCTTCCGCTCCAGCTCCAGGCCTGCAGGTAGGCCCTATCCCACTGGGCCTCCTCGCAGCCTCCTTCCTTCAGCCTCACATCTTCCACTCAAACTCTCCCTCCAACTCTCCTGCTACTGAGCAGTCTTAAACACTTTTAAGGGTGTCCAGCCCCTTGCCAACCTCTTGTTGGGGATTAGCTAGGACCTCTCAAGAGTGCAGCAAGCCACTCCTCAGATCCACCCACTGCATCTATAGCCTTCCTCCAAAAGCCCTAGAGCAGGGGGAAATGCCAGAGGGGGTCAGCCTGCTGAGCCTTTCAGCTCTTGACCCAAATTTTACCCCTTCTGGCTATTACATCTGGGCTGCTGCTCAGCCCCTGTCTAAAGATTGGCGTCTAGCTCCCCCTAGCTAAACGGAGGGTGCTACAACTGCATCTGAGCACCACAAACCAAAAATGCTATTTAAGTATTTTTTTTACCGTAAGCAAACTCCCCCATCCATCAATGACTCCATGCTTTATTTTTGCAGAGAAATCATTTTGGACCCCCCAACATTACTGGCCATGGCCATCTTGAGTAAGGGCAAATGATTCATGCAGCAGACATGCAGGGAGGAGGAGGGTGTGCTTAGCTGAGAAAACCCCTCCTCCTCTCCTGAAGACTCCTGAAATGTATGACATCATTTGCCTAGGCAAGAAACCAGGAAGTAACTGAATAAATGGAATAAAAAAGGGTAAAACATTTATTTACTAATGCTAGCAGCAGAAGGATTAAAATAGTCCATGTTGATTGAGAGAGTGAAGTTCTGCTTTAAGGATGATCTCATAAAGTAATTGTGTCAAATGAGGCTACAGCATACAAAATGCTGCAACAACAAATGGACTTACACCACAAATAGAATTTAGTAAAATTCCCAAATACCACAATTTATGAGACATAGGTCATGTGTGGCATTACTAAACCCTGAGTGAACATAGTCAATACTTGCTAAGGGCCCATGCGTTGTGGTAATGTACTCATTAACAATCAGCATCAACACACTTGTTCTACTATGGTGCATTGTTG